GTTAGAACTCAATGATTATTCTAATTATATTTTAGATTTTTTATATTTAAAATGAGATGTTTATCCTGTATTGGATTGTGTTTATCTGCAGTTAGTTACACGAATTCAGTTATGGGATGAAATCGGATAGGGATGAAATCGTTTAGGGATGAACAGGTTTAAGAGTTTAAGAGTTCAAGAGTTTTTAAGAGTTTTAGCCAAATGCATTATAATATAGTATAGATATATAGGCTCAAACAAGAGATCGAAGTTAATCAAAATAAAGAAGCTTGGAAAGTGTATGGTTGTATTCGTACTATGAAACGACCATGAAAGGCTTTATGGAGACAATGGCCTAAGTAGTTGTTGTGTGTGAGTATGTGACCTTGAGGTTGCATCAGCAACAAATCAAAAGCCAAAAGCCAAAACAGCTTTTACGTGTGGTTGCGTGAGTTTAGGGTGTGGATTTTTTTATGCATAATAGATTATATGATATTTAATACAAGCTTAGAGTCAATTTCAGTCAACAGTCGAATTCTTTCAAATTTGATTGCTTAAAGTCGTTTTGTTAACCAATGAGTCGAAAGAGATCCTTCATCTTTTTGCGTTTTTCTCATCCGCTGGGCTCAAATTTACATTATTTTGTCTTTGTGCATATCTCGATTATCTAGTGCACATGCTAAAAACTTACCTTCAGATGCTACGGCCATATTTATAACCAATTCATGAAGGTGGGTCCATTCAATGAACATAGTGCAACTATATTCATATTGGCATTGCATGGTATAATGTAACACATGTAGCTAGCAGAACTACCAAAAAGACGTTGGGTTATGTTTATATATTTTACAATGAAAGTATTGCTAGATGTTAAGACTACGGATCCCTCACCGAGACTATGATGCTCCACTTAAAGCTTGGTTTTAATAAGCATGGGATGCAATTACACTAGAGGATCATTAAAACAATTCAAATTCAAGATATTTCACGGGATAAAATGTTGGTTCATCATTTAAATTCAGATGGAGACCAGATGATGTATTTTATATTTTGTTATTTGAGGTTTTGGTTTATGCCGTTGGCAATATCATGTTCTTATATTTTATAAAAATTGGCATAGGTAAGATCCCCTTAGACATGAGTAAGGCCTTGTTTGTTTAAAAAGAACTCTTATCAACCTCTCATGTATGTTTTGTTAAGAGGTATGGTCATTTAGATTGTTTTTTTCTTTATAATTTTTCATCTAAATTATTAGAGACACTTATGTCTTGTTGTTCTATTATATGATAACTGGTAAGAGATAAACCAACATTTTTTTTTTTTGCCTTTTATTGTTATCCAAATAATCAATTACGACATTTCTCAATCGATTAACCATAATCGGTCATTTCTCTTCATCACTCCTTAGCAAATCGATCATCACTATCAACTGATGTATATTAATATGAATTAAATGTGTTAAATATCGTTAATGATATATTTTAGATGTAAGTTTTCATAAGAATGATGAATAAATATGTGAAATTGCATAAATGCATCTATAAATTCAACATTACAATTTTCTAATAGATAAAATAGATAGTCTAAACAAATTCAGACATTTATCATTTTATAAAAACAAACAGTCTTATTGATTCAGACATTAACACGACTTCTTATCAATTAAAAGTGAAACAAGACTTCAACATCTTTTAGAAAACAAGCACTTTGCTTGTTTGTGCAACTATTCCCTCAATCAATTTACATACAACTTCAGGTTATTTTACGAAGTATTATAATAAATGTACGATGAATCAGTTAAAACTTAAAATCATGTTATTTTATCCCGTAAATGCATCGTTTTGCAACATTTTCTTTAATCCATTTATTAAAAAAAATTCTGCTGCAAAAAAAACAACGAAATGCAGACACTGGATTGGGCTTTCTGAATCTAAATCCACGACCACAACATTCTGTTGGGCCTAAAAGTTTTAGCCCAATACCAAGCAGTAGCACAACAACTTCTAACCAAGCTAACGCTTCTTATTGGTGATTTTGTTACCATATCCATCCATTTTTTTCAATTACATTTTCATTTTCGAGCTCGATTTTTTTTTAAAGTCTCAGATCGATTAGATTTAGATCGTGCCCCTCTAATAAATATTGGAATATTTTTTTTCTTTTAAAGGCTATTTTTGAGATTAATATAATAACAATGTCACATATATTCTTATATTATAATTTATACTAGAGTCGATGTATAAAGTTATGGAGGTTGGAGGACTTGTAAATTTCCTGTTACAATATAATAAAAACTAGAGTTGTTCATGGACGGG